CCCCCCCCCCAGCCTCAAGGCGATGAAACCACCAAAAGAACCTCCAGGCCCTCAGCCATGGGCCCTGGTGCATCCACTATTAAACACTAAACCCTAAACCCTCTCTCCATGCACACCCTTATTTTATGAAGCCTGTTTCGGTGGAGAGGGACTTCGAGCGAACTTGTATCGAGACAATAGAGGCGGGCACGCCAAGGGGGTTAAGCCCTAAACCCTAAACCCTAAACCCTAAATACCAGGACCTCCATGTTTGGGGCTCCGAAAAATACATGCGAGGAGAATGAATTGGAGGAGAAGGACCGGAAGGAGCTAGGCGGGAGGTTGTACTGCCCTGAGCTGCTCAGAGCTGCGCGAGGCTAGTGAGTGCAGGCAAGTGGGAAGTACAAATGAAAGATGGTACGCACAATAAAATATCGGCAAGCAAATAAACAAGTCAAAAACAAACCTCTTACTGCCAATACGAAGGCACAGCCTCTCTATCGTCGTAAAAGAAGAACCTCAGCAGCCGCCGGCCGCCAAAGCGTACGTGGTACTCAAATTGGATCTCTATAGGCATATCCGGGAGAGAGAGCACAAATAATATACTATTAGAAATGCATCAACCAGCATTAGGAGATAAGGCAATCATGCGCTGCGCTGGTACAGAGGATCTGTGATCTGGGGCTGGCGGTGAGACTGGCACTGGAGCCGAGGCGATGATCTGCGATGGGACAGCATTGCGATTATCTTTATTACTCTTCCTCTGTAAGGAGGATTGGACCCGGGATACAAATTAGAGACTGTTCTTCGATGTTTTTGGGTTGTTCTTAGGGTTATGCGCTGAGTGTATTCATCGAGTGTGCACCTAAATGGGCATGTATGGGACCGACAAATAGTGCCAACTGAGAGAGCTGTTCACTATAGCAGAACCACGGGGCATTCTAGGCATGCCGAGCTTGGGTACTCTCGACAAACGGGTCTAGGCGTGAAGACATGTTGCGATGCAGCTGCAAAACTGCTCTTGAGAAGCGGGTCTACGCGTGAAGACATGTTGCTATACAGCTGCAAAGTGATGGCTGAGCTGAAAACGGCCTTTTCTCCAACTCACACCGTAGCAGCATCTATCATCTGGACACCACGGAGCGTCGGGCTAGTGCTAGAGAGACGGAAGATCTATTGCACTTCTACACATTCCAACCAGTGCATGCACACGCATCCTGCCTTCTGTATTTTTGCATTGGGCATCCAGCGGGTTGCCGGCCCGCTGATAGCTCTCGGCTATTCAAATACAACTGAGAATTTTCCCTCTTAGTCGTGCCCACTTGCAATTCCTCCGGTGTTAACTGGATTGAATCCCCCAGAACAGCGGTCTTCGTAGTATCACCGCGACGGATTGCATACACTTGGCCTTCGTTTCCTGCGGCGCTTCTGCAGCGCGCAGGAGCCGTCACCCTCCTTTTTCCTTAGAGCACTGATTCTCGGGACTAAACAGGTCAGCAGCTTTTGGGAAGGCCTACCTTAAGTTTTTTGCTTCGATTGCAGGTCACGACACCCACGGATAAGATCGCGGAAGCTCGTTGTAGGCCTATTTTATAGTGTGTGTAGAATGGCCAGTCCGGTCCTGGTGGGTATTTTTCTTCTCGCTTGCAGGTTGGGTACTGGAGGCCAAATAAATGTTTATGGGTTGCCCACGGTGTTGGTGCATGCATGAAAGATGACCTTGAGTATGCTCCCATTTGGTGGTACCTTGCAACAAGACTTCCTGCGCAGAATGGTCTGTCTGAAGCTCGTATATCTACTTCGACTTACGTAAAGGCTGGCCACTGAGGGCAGGCCGTCGCCTTCTCTCCGAAAGAGCCCTACTCCCTTGGATCTCTGGAGATTGAGGGGGGAGGCCACGTGCTTTAAAGAACTCTTGTGTTCAACCTTTTCCACTCTGTTGCAGCCAGTAGGGCTCCTCTATTGAGGCCAGGTGCTCTCGCTACACTCGGTTTCACCGTAAAGCTCTTCGGCACAGGCCCGAACAGCGGGAGCGGAACCATCCACGCAGCTGGCCGGCCTTTTGCATAGCGCTGAATAGTAGCGCAGCCGATTTACGAAAAAAAGGGAAAGGTATCAATAAACATTGTACGCAGTGCCCTTAAATCTTTTGCAGCAACAGTACCCAAGTCTCACAAGGCTGAAAGTTCATCAGGCGAAAACGATTCCTGAAGAATGACTCCGCGTTTGCCGGTCCAGCTAGGGCGAGCGCCGACGCAGGGACAGTGGAGGGACACCTTGCTTCTCTGAATGTGTATGGTGTATTTTGTATTTACAGTGCACCTAAAAGCCGCATTTGCAACGGCAACGGGCGGCGTAGTGGTGGTCCAAAAGAGGTGTCTGTCTCAGTGGCGGACACGCCTTGGATCACCTCGGTGCTTATCTAGGCACAGATGCTCAGGAGCTGCTTGCTCTAGTTGACACGGGCTGGAAGTGGATATGGATTGTGAAGTCACGAAAGGAGGTGCAAGCTGCCCGTTTATTCACTGGCAACGCCTCTGCGACTACGCCTCCACGGCAGGCACTTGAGGACAGTCGACAATACTATTGACGTCAGAAGCGAGGTCAATTCACAGGTGGGTCATGGTACCACTGAATGAAGGTTTTGCTCCTGACTAGTTCACGACGGCAGAGTTTTTAGCATGCCTTGGGTGGCGTTGAGGAAGGCAACCATTCGGTTTCCAGAGGACACCCTTGAGGTCTATCTGCTAAGAGGAGACGGAAGAGCGCCCTCTGTCGTCATTAGCTTACGAAAATCATAGATTAAGGGGATTCCATCCAGCTAACATGTGAGGAGCCACTGTGGTGACGAGGAAATGCTCAATCCACAGCGAGTGCCTTTGAGCGCAATCCGGTGCTGAAGAAGAAAACTGGGAGGAGGGAGGGGGCACGTCTACCGTGAAACGAAAGTTCCTGATTGTCGTGGTGGACAACCTACGTAACTGCTCGTAAAACTCAGCATTCAATTCATCATTTAACTGCGCTGGCGCGTTTTGTGATCCAGACGAATCCCCGACGCAAGCCCACGAGTGCATTCCATACACGCACTCGCACACTAAAGTATGTCTGAATACTAGTTTGCTTGATTAATCTCTGGCACACTGACGGGAAGTTTTCAGCATTACAATCATGGATTTGTCCGGTGGAATTTTTTGCTCACCCAGTACTACTGCACGGGCAAGTATATCAAGGGTATCACTAACGGATTCGTCGACGCACCCTCCATGCTTCCTAATAATCGCAAAATTTTTTCGCAACTGCAATTATCTGTGAGGAGTCTCGGTTCCTTTCCGAATTGCCCTTCGTATGGCAGCCAGACACACAAGGGCGTGCGCTGCTTGGAACTGAGGAGCGGCACGCATGCACTATGGTTTGTCTGGAGCTGTCGTGTATTTGTACGCGTTTACAGGTTGGCTACTGAGGTCCAAACAACAGTTCAACAATTGTATACTGTGCTAGTGCATGCAGCAATGGGTTATTGAGTGCTTGTGCGTATATATTCTGCTTTTGTCTGGTAATGCGGAAGACCTTGGTGCAGCATCTACTTCCAGGAAACAGCCGAACACATACGCAAGAGTACCCAAGGTGTTCTGCAATTCATGGAGCCTCATCTTTTCCGCAGCATCCAGAGGTACTCATGCAGCTGTACAGTGGGCGCCTGGAGACTGGGAGGGACTCCCAGCTGATTATTAGATTTACCGTAATTCAGAGTCTGCTAAAGGCCACTAGTTTCTTCTGTTAAAGTTAAGGACCCTCGTTACAAGCATAGCGAGTTCGACGCCGTCCTGGGATGCCTCGAAATAGTGAACGATGTGTTTCTCCTGGGCGGCTCATCTTTCAAGAACTATTTAAAACACCTCCAGCGTACTTCTGCTTAAAATTGGATATTCATTTGTGATACATACATGGTGGTGTGGACTTCATGTACCAAGCGTAACAAGAGTTCCCGATAATGCCCGTGGACCGTCGTCCCATGCAGTTGGGCCAGAATACTTAAGGTAGGAGTTCTATAAAGCAGCGGAACCTCCCTCCATTCCCCAGACGTTCTGTGTAAAGCGGCCCAAGAACACATGACTGGGCAGAGGCGTAGGGGGTCTGATACGGTTCACAGGTTACCTCCCTTCAACTGATGCTGCAAGGCACCTCTACATGCAAGCGCAACCAACCTCCCTTCAACTGATGCTGCAAGGCACCTCTACATGCAAGCACAACCAACCTCCCTTTTGCTGTCTGCTCTAACACTGTAGACAACTGTAGTACTTCTGCTTGCGTGCAGGCCGCCTAATGAGGCCACGAAAGTGTTCACCCACTAACTTGGAACAAAACACCATCCACCAATGCACAATGACTGCCACGGGAGCAATGGGGTGTATCCTCGAAAGGCTCCGGTTTCTTTCACAGCAGTTGCAGACGAAACCAAGCAAACTATTCAAAGTATTCAATGCAAATTAAATAAAGTTCGAATTTTCCTTTGTTTCTGGCGAGCATCGGGAAGCTGCACGACAGCGCGCAGCGAGAACAACCTGAACGGCATCCGGCGAAGACAAGATTACTTTTGTTTGTTTTTGTTCTTTGAGTCAATATTTCTGATTATTTCATCTTATTCTCAAGAGCAAATAAATGGAGATGACGAACAGACAAACAGACAAGCCGGTCAGCGAACGGCAACCACTGCCGCTCAGCCAGCCAAGCATACAAACGCGGGTCCGCTGCAATTGATTGCGTAGCCGGTTTCGTTTGCTAATTAAATCAAATACTCTCTTTAAAGCATTATATTTTTGTTTCTTTGTTTATTATCAATATTAGAAGGATCATTCGTCGGACACCGCCGCCCCAGCTGCGCCGAGCTGCATGCGTGTAGTAGCTGTGTTTATGTTTGTTTCATGATCATTTGGTGCTATCTTTGTTCTTTTTTTCTGAAAAAACGGATAAATTTGATCTTCTCTTTTTGAATTAAGCGTCTGTTTGGCCTGTCTCGCCAGCCTTGACCCCAAGGCGCTATACTCACTTCTTTTTGTTTTTGTTGACGTCAGTGGCTTACGCGCAGCAATTTAGGCTCAGGCTTCGCAATGGAGGCTGAACCCAGATGTGTCGTTCTTGTTTCTAGTGAAGGAGAGGAATTTAAAGTGCCTCGGGAGGTGGCTTCTGCTTCCTTGCTAGTTAAATCCATGACAGAAGGTAAAAGATACACCCGAATGAATTAGAAGAAACCAGGAAACAGACAAGAAAAATTACATGCCTATACAACTCATCTCTTCAGGTCTTGGGGCCTAGGATGCACGGTTTAGGGTTTAGGGTTTAGGGTTTTAACCGTTCAGGACGCACCCTAACATGATTACTGCTTTGCGTTTCTTTCAAAGTGTTTTTATATCCCTCTCCTACGACAACACTCAGCTCGGCCTCTGCTACATGTGCTGCTGCTTCTGCAACTACTGCTGCAGCTCCTGCTCCTGCTGTTGCTGCTTCCGCTGCTGCTGCTTCTGCTGCTTCTGCTGCTTTTGCTGCTTCTGCTTCTGCTGCTTCTGCTGCTGCTGCTTCTGCTGCTGTTGCTTGTCCTGCTGCTGCTGGTTCTGCTGCTACTGCTTCTGCTCCTCCTCCGAGCTGCTGTTTCAGACACTTGTACTTCATCTTGTGTTTCTGCATGTACTGCATCTGCTACATGTGCTGCTGCGTTTGCTACTGCGGCTGCTGCTGTGCTTTTGCTGCTTCAGATGGAGACGACACGGACGTGGTGCCTTTGCCTAAAGTTAGCAGCTACATATTGAAGAAAGTTGTGGAGTACTGCACACATCACCACGACAATCCCCCTGAAGATATACCAACGCCTTTGAAGACCAGCAATCTCGCCGAGGTAAACAAAACGCATGCATTCACTGCATGCATTCATATGCATACACTCGTTGCATGCATTTGCTGCATATATTTGCTGCATGCATCTGCTGCATGCATCTGCTGCATATATGTGTTGCATTATTTTGCTACATTTGCTGCATGCATTTGCTGCATGCATTTGCTTCATATATTTGCTGAATTTGTTTGCTGCATTTGCTGCATGCAATTGCTGCATGCATTTGCTGCATGCATTTGCTGCATGCATTTGCTGCATGCATTTGCTGCATGCATTCGCTGCATGCATTTGCTGCATGCATTTGGTATAAAAGTGTCGGTATCTCTTCGTTTCTTTTTTCTGTTTCTTTTTCTGTTTCTTTGAATGAGAAGGGTGCGAAGTGTGCGGTAATGCGGATATAATGCTGCTTGTTATTATGTTATTATGTTTATTAGAGTTGATTTTGTATTATTTGTTTGTAGTATTTATTTGTTATTATTTTGTTTCTCATAGAAAGAGAGAGGAAGTGCTGTTGGCTTCTGCTGCTCAGCAGTTCCTGCTGCTTCATTTGCTGCATTTGTTTCTTTCTTTGCCTTTTATTTATTTTAGTATATAGAATATGCATTATATATATTATACATTATATATATTTGTTTGTGCTGCAGCGGTCGCTGTGCTTATTTGCTTGTCTGTGTTTGTGTGTTTGCTTGTTCTTCTTTGTTTTCATTTTGTATGCTCCTCGTTTTTGTATTTTGCATGCAGCAATTGTATAGAAGATAAACATACATGTTTCTTTGTTTGCTGCTGTGTGCTGCTGCTGTTTTTGCTGCTGTTGCTGCTGCGGTTGCTGCTGCTGCTGCTGCAGGTTGTGTCTGAGTTTGACTTCAACTTCGTCAATGTAGAGCAGACGGTGCTTTTTGATTTGCTGCTGGCAGCAGATTACCTCAATATCCCTTCTCTTCTCCTCCTCACCTCAGCCAAAGTCGCCTCAATGATCAAAGGTCTGCTGCTGCTGCTGCTGCTGCTGTGGCTGCGGCTTTTGCCGGTGCTGCTGCTGCTGCTGTGATTGTGGCTGTGGCTGCTGACGTTGCAAGTATTGCTATTGTGGTTCTGGATGTGTCTGCGACTGTTGACGGTGCTGCTGCTGTCGCTGTTAATGTTGCTGCTGCTGTTGTTGCTGCTGCTGCTGATATCGCTGCCTGCGTTTTGTCTGGTTCCTATTTATGCTGCATGCTACAGATTGCTCTTGCAACTGCCACGGGTGTTTGGGCTGCTGCCGCTGGTGTTGCTGTGGCTACTGCTGCTGCTGCTGTTGCTGTGGCTCCCTTGGTGCACATATGCATGCAGTTCTTGTGTGCATTTGGGGTGTATGTACAGGTCGGAGCCCAGAAGAAATCCGCAGAGAGTTTAATATTGTCAACGACTTCACTCCAGAAGAAGAGGCCCAGGCACGTCTGCTGCTGCTGTTGCTGTTGCTGTTGCTGCTGCTGCTGTCGCAGCAGCAGCTTGCGTGGTTGGGTCCTTAAGGGGTCTCTTGAGTGTACGTACACTGCAGCAAACACTGGATGGGGATGCCTCAATTGTTTTTTGTTTGTCTGCAGATTAGAGAAGAAAACCGATGGTGCGAAGACGCCTGAAGAAGCAGCAGCAGCAGCTGCTGCTGCAGCACTCCATCACAGCAGCAGCAGCAGCAGCAGCGGCAGGTAGCGTTGCAGCCACCACAGTGGCTCTGACTTTGTAAAGATCTAGCGGATCTGCTGCTGCTGCGGCTGCTACCCCTGCTACAGCAACTGCTGCTGCTGTTGCTGCACTTTGCCGCAGCAGCAGATAGCAGCAGAAGCAGCAGCAGCAGAAGCAGCAGCAGCAGTTGCTGCTGCCATCCGCTGGGCCTCCGCCCTCGCCCGGCTGCGGCGGGGATTTTCTGCCTTGGATTTTGTCTGAGGAACGAATAACCTTAAATATTTATGTAAACATAAATATATCATGTATATTGTATATATAATATGCATATAGCAATATATATATATATATGTATCTATATATATATATATGTATATATATAATATATATATATATATATTTGAGGCATACGCCGGTCGTATTTCCACGCAGATACAGACAAAGCAGGAAGGGATATATATATATATATGCATATGTATGTATGTTTATATAAATGTGCTTATATATATCTATATATATCTATACATGTTTATATATGCATTAATATCTATATTTTGTTTATAAAGGTTCTTTTATAGTTGCATGTTGAATCTAAATTTTTATATTTCTGCTGACTGTAGGTGTTGGTGGTGTATCCAATTGCCTGTTATAGAGAGAAAGAAAGAAATGAAAAAGGCATGCATTAGCACTGGGATGCTGCACTGGGGTTGGGGTGTACGTACACCGCTGCGCTGCAGCTGCTGCTGCTGCAGTAACTGCTGCTGCAGTTGGTGGTGCTGCTGGTGGTGCTGCACTGCAGCTGCTATGAAGTATTCCACTGGCTGCACAGCGTGTTGCTGCTTCTTCTCACCACAGACAGCAAGGGTTTAGGGTTTAGGGTTTAGGGTTTAGGGTTTTAGAGTAAAGGAAGCAAAAGCTGACTCCAACTCAGGCGTAGCTTAAACCATAACTCCCCTCATGATGGCGCTACATCTGCTGCTGCTGCTGCATTTGCTGCTGCTGCTGCTGCTGCTGTTGCTTCGTAGCGTGCATGCAGAGAAGGTGTATAGGCAGCGCAGCACAAAGACACCGCAATTAATAAATGCATTTCAAAAGAAAAACAAAAACAAATCTTCTCAAAAGAAGACAACCATCCTCACACTGGGCAGCCGCAAATCTGCTGCCACAGCACTCTTTGCGGACATATATATATATATATATATATATTTATATATATATACATATATATATATATATTATATTATATAAGTACAAATAAAGCTATATGTATGTGCACATGTTTGTGTGTGCATGTGTATACATATACATACGTATATATATGTAGACTTTTAATGTATTTGTATATATACTCCTTAGCATCTACCTGCCCCTAGAAAACCCTGAAAAGAAGCAAAGTGCAAACCCCAAACAAACAAAGAGCAGAAAGGAATGCGAATATATATCTGCTTCTCCTTCTGTACTAATAATAATAGTTATTATTAATATTATAATTATTATGATTATAATTATAATTCTTATTTCGGTTTCAAGGAAGCCTACTGATAGAAAGTTTGAACGGGGGGCCCCCAGGGGCCCCCTGGGGGCCCCCAGGGAGCGAGAAAAAATAAATGCGTCGGCAACGAGAATTTTCATTATATTTCCTCCAAAATAAGATTAAAATATACTTTTAATAGCAATGCTTAGGGTTTAGGGTTTAGGGTTTAGGGTTTAGGGTTTAGGGTTTATGGTTTAGGGTTTGTAGGTTGGCCTCCGGCATCGAGGCTGCCGGGCCTCTCGAGTGATGGTTGAGGTGTATGTACACCTCACACTGGAGTTAAGGTTCTGCATGCGAGCGGCTGTATCTTGTCTTCTGCTGTTGTTTCTGTTGTTAACGCCAGAATAACAGCAGCAGCAGCAACAACAACAACGGGAGAAACAACAACAGCAGCAGCACAGCTGTAGGCAGCGGAAACCTCTAATTACAGACAGATGCTGCGCGTGGGGCTGCAGCAGCGGAAGCTGCTGCAGCTGCTGCCTCGTTGCAGCACCCCGACAAGCCCTGGTGGTTGTACCACCACTGCAGCAGCAGCAGCTACTGCAGCAGCAGCAGAAGCAGCAGCAGCAGCAGCAGCAAGAACATCTCCCACCGCAGTCCTTCTCCCGCAGCCAGGGATGTCTTTGAGGGGAGCTTTGTATTCTCCTTTCGCGTTGTGCGCTCCACAGCAGCAACAGGGACAGCACAGCAGCAGCAGCAGCTGCTGCTGCTGCTGCTGCTGCAGCAGGAGAGGCCTGGTGACGGATCGGGCGCAGCTGCTTCTGGAGCTGCCGAAGACTGAGGGCGATGCCTTTGTCAACAAATGCGCGGAGGCGGTGAGGACGCACTTCACTTGCTGCTGTTGATGCTGTTGTTGCTGCTGCTGCTATCGTTGCTGCTGCTGCTGCTGCTGCTGCTATCGTTGCTGCTGCTATCGTTGCTGCCGTTAGTGGTGCTGCTGCTGTTCGTGTTGTTGAGTGAAATCAGGACGAAGACGGCAGAGAGCTTCTGCTTCTCCTGTTACTGCAGCAGCTGCTGCAGCATTTGCTGTTGTTGTTGTTGTTGCTGCTGCTGCTGCTGCAGGCTAAAGCCCCTGCTGCTGCTGCAGGTCAATGGGCTGTGCTGTCTTCACTAGTGCATGCAAAGGCAGCAGACTTCTTCCCGCTGCAGCTGCTGCAGCTGCTGCGGCTGTTTGCTGCTGCACCCTTCGCTGACGAAGCGCTGGTTGCTGCTGTTGCTGCTCGGTAAGAAGAAAAAGGAGATAAACAAAAAAATTAAAAGAATATAAATAAATATTACAAAACGAATAAAGAAAGACAAATAAAAGAAGATTAAAATAAACAAAAATAAACATAAATAAAAACAAACAAACAAATAATCAGAGATAAAGATAAATGGAGACACAAAGAGACTGACTTTATATTTATTTATTTATTTATAACTCTATATATAATATATTTAATATATATATTATATTATATTATATTATATTATTTTATATTATATTATATTATATTATATTATATTATATTATATTATATTATATTA